ACTCTAAAAAAAAATAAAATTTCATTTAAATTCTAACGCTTGTATCATTTTTTTTACATTCTAATACTTCCACAGGCAGGTTTTTTTTTTGTAATGAATATCACTATCTGGTGGAACTTACTACCTATCACTCTGATTTTCAACATCCTTAAGTTTGAACTATTGTAATATTAGTTCGATGGGACATGTTTTAACTTACGTTTCTGTTCACTGGTAAACTGGAAAAAGTAGTTAGTTCTAGCTAGTTGAGTTAGTTAGTTAGTTACAAATGAAATGACATCATCGGGTTGATATGTTACAATGTAAACACGCAGTTCACCTGATAGAGTGTCAAACATGTCTTATAGTCATTACTGTTAGTCTGTGGGAGGACAGGAATCTGGCGAGGACTTTTTCTAAATCGAACTCACAGGTTTATTATTGCTTTGAGAAAAAAGATTATTCATTTAACCATTTTTAGAAGTGAAGATATAGTCAATTGTTCTGGGAATGTCATTTTCGAGCCTGATGCCTGAAAAACAGGCTCGGGATCAACTGGTTAAAAAGGCGCACTGTGATGAAATGCATCTTTTGTAAAGTCAATACGTATGATTCAGAATAATGCCAGCATTAATCCAGGTCTGCTCACCGGTCCTTGCCAGAAGCATTTTGGTTTAAATCAAGCTGACATCTGTTGGGTCCTGAGGTGAAAATGAACAGCAGTGTCCTGCTTGTACAAATGTTGATGCGCACTTTCTGCACTAATTACCAGCGGGCAAAGGTTAACAGATACCAGAATACTGTTCGTAATAATTTTTCATTGGTGCAAATACTGTATATCTTGTATCAACAGCCATCGGATTTGACAGTTACATTTGTTTAAAATGTCTTACGCCAGTGTATGCTTCAAACAGTTTACCCTGGCAGGTGCAGATAATTTGTTCACACATGTTTGGCAACTGTAAGTCATTTTTAATTATGTGTTTAATCAGTGAATCACTTATGTTTACATTACCGTTGACAGTGATCAAAAGAAATGATAATCACTAGCATTCACATTAGCAACAAGGTTTGCATTGAGCAATGTGTCAATATTTAGAATATATAGGCACTTATGCCCTTTCGTAGACCACCTTTGCTCAATTTTAGATCCTTTTGAAATGTTATGCACTTCCAAGTTAACTTTTTTAAAACAACCAGAGCATACAGTAAGTGGCAGAATTCAATGGGAGCAGCAAACACATCTCTCTGGATAATTAAAAAACAGGATTACTGGAGATTATTATGTAAAAGGCTCAGACGAAAATAATTGAACACATTTCAGTGTGCTACAAGTACTTGAATTGTATTTGTGGTCTAACTGCATAAAAAACAATCTTTATGCATTAACACAGGAAACATGGTAACAGGGATTTCATCGCAGCCTGAAACAGTTATTTAACTTCAAAGAGACATCATCCATGCTTGCCAAATGTATTTTGCACTCTGCTGCCAAGCCATTACAAAACTGTCAGTTTGTTATCATGTGGAGCTGGACTATTTTTAGATGGGGTGTGAGGAGACTATTGGATTGGCTACTGTTGAAGCCCACCCCAACTTCACCGACTGAAGGTGTGCTGCTCCTGCTAACTGTATTTAACCTGCTCCAGTCCCATTTCGTGATTGTTCAGACACGCAACAGATGTGGGGCACTTTCACCTGTGATTGTGCTTTAGCCAAGTTTAAAAAGAAAAAGTGTTCTATAAATAATATCACCTCTGCCCTAAATAAAGAGGGAGTCAGTAATAATTAAACGTCTTACAAATGCTCTTGTTATTTAGACGAGATAGCCCGAGGAATTAAAGGAACTTTGACATTGTTCTTGGTCGTTCCGAAGTATTCATGTTTTGTTGTCTTGGCAGTGCAAACACTGCTAATGAAGAGGCAAGGCTATGGTGGTATTTTAGTTTTAATTGACCTCAGGCTCATTAAACAGCTCATACTTTGTTCAAGTTAAAAATATGCTATCCCTGTTTATGTCGGGAAGGTCTAACAACTTGCCTTCACTACCATGTAAAACAGCAACATCTTGCAGAAAATTCAGTGGAATGGAATCCTTCGAGGGAGAAGTCAATAAATGTGAGGACGCAGTTGTTTGGCACCCTCCACTTGAGTTTAACCTCTTATGTTAGATTATTAAATTAAGCTAAAGCAAGTTTAGTCAGGAAAACTGGCTATACTGTGCATTCATTTACTCCTCAGCTGCATATTATCAACTCATTTTGGACGTCCACTTTTAACCATTTAAATTGTACCACAATCTCCAGCAGCCAATCATCTTTCTGCAGTCATACTTTTACATTGTTCTCCTCTCTCTTGCATTCAGCTGTGATTTCAAGCGATAATGCTGCGACCATCTTCTGTGGAGCTGTTCCACACAAATGCAGCTTTTAAGTAGTGTTGACATTTGAGCTGAGCTTAAAATCGACCTTGCTTAATGTCCACAAGCTTCTTCTTCTTTCGTGTAACGTCAGAGGTCCAACTCGGTGTTGTGTAGCTATGCCCGCATCTCTGGTCCTACGTTGAAGAGGCTGGCTTCCGAGGGTGGTCTATATAAAGGGCAGGTGGTTATTATATGTTCGGCAGTCTGTTCAGGGTCACCACACTTGAATGCAGCACTGTCTGCCAAGCCCCACTTCTTCATCGATGTTTTGAAGCGACCGACCCCAATTCGTAGACGGTTTAGTGTGGTCCATTGCCGGCGTAGTAGGTCGTCTCCTCCTATGGCGCCATCTCCTGGGTCCCATATGTACGCGATGGATGCGGGAGTGCCCGGCTAGGCTCCCACTCCTGCCTCCAAGCAGCTGGCCAACCATGCATCCTGGACGAGTCCCAGAGGACCCTTCAACTACTTCGTGAGGGGCTTTCTGCTCCATGGCAGGGGCGCAGTTCCACTGCAGAGTAACAACCAGGCTGGTCGATAATGCAGCGCTTAGCGCTAGGCCTTCCGGGGTCAGCGAGGGCGGTGGTATCCAGCGGACCCTTGATGTTATCCTTGGCCCTTGACTTCAAGGTGTGAGGATCAATATCTGTCCCAGTACGCTATTCTCTCTGATGGTTACTTTCGGGCTGCTGGACCTCCACACTTATCTGTTGACACGCACCCAAGTTCTCCTCCTAGCTTCTCTGGTGCTAAGATGGTATGCCTGC